ACTCTAACCGGATGCTCTATAAAGGTGCCAATGTAGCTGTTGAAAGAGTCCCAATCGATCCATACTCAGAAATGTCCGTGGAACGCCGTCCGTACTTAGCTAATCAATGTAAGTCCTTGGAACCAAATTGAAAATCAAATTCAAACCGCGAAGTAGAACTAGTGTCGCCGATGTAACTCGTGAAACCGTAACATCGGGGAAAATAAGGATAACTATAATCGGAGAAAGAGTATCGCCTAACTAAGGCCTAAACTATCAGACTCAAGTCTGCTACACCAGTCCACAGGGATCTAAGCCGGACGGGCGACGTCGAAGCAAAACTAAGGCCTATTGGATCCGAATAATGTATTTCTGAGGCAAACCCTAGTCAAACCTAAACTAAGGTCCAACATTCTTCGAATAAAAAATAATTAAGCATGCAAGCACTCCACATAGCGAGGAGGGTCCGTTAATAACACAAAGCATGCTCACAGTTACCCGATAATTCCCGAAATAGGCCGAAAACATGATTTCTTAACACCTATGTAGGATTCAATAACTACCCAACCCAAATCCCAACTAATCAACATGCATTCACATTCTCGAGCTCAATCTAAGAGAGGGAAAACCGTAGCCTACCTGTAGGCCAATCACACGCGCTCCAAAATCACTTCTTTGGAGCTTTCCCTTTCCGAACGTCCTCAAAACGCTGCCCCGCTATCAAAAATAGTATCGCAACGTTATTACAGTCGTTTAGACACCAAAATCACAACAAACGGAGACAAATCAATTTTGTAGTCAAAATGGGAAATGTGGGACCCGCACCGAACTATCCGAATTTGACTCCGTCAAGACACCCTAAACAGCACTCCAAACTTGTGGTCCAAAATGAAACACAATTTGGGGATCAAAACGCATCAACACCCAACAAGCAAGAAAACCACACTTATATCAACTTAAAAGAAAACATTGCAGCAGCCTAAACTTGAAATTAACGAGAATCAAAAAGTTCCCAACACTCCTTAAGCACTCTACGACGAAGACACGATAATTTTCAACACATGGAACTTCGAATCACCCAATTCCGAGCTAAAATGAGTGAGATATGATCAAAACAATAATGCCAAAAACCACAGCTCGAAAAAGGGTTCTGCAGTCAGGTTAATTGCAAAATTTACCTCAAACGGAGACCCCAAATCACTATCCGAGCTCACCAACGCGTTGTCCTCAAAAAATCTCACAACTTTTCCTGTTGGATCGCCCAAATCGGTTGAGAGATGAGAGAATTATGAGGGTTTGAAATTTGGGAAATGTTGCTGATTTTCTGCAATTTATTGCAGAAAATCTGCAACATTTCCAAAACTTAAAATTCCGATGGGGTGTTCCGATCTCGTTCGGAACCCCGTGCACGCAAACGAGATATGCAACCATACCAAATTTGATATTCCAGACTGAACGGCGCAGTCGAAATTTCCATCAGAGGTCATTTCGATAAAAAGTGGGTCCCACTTTCAAAAGCCATTTTAAATCAAAACCCACAAAAGGGCTCGGATAGATATCGAAAACCTCCAGACACAAAAGAAGGGTCAATCTAGACCAAACTCGACATTCTGAAGCTAACCACGCTGACAGAATTCTCATCCGAGCGCGTTTACTCAGAATGTTGACCAAAGTCAAACTTAAGCCAAATTTCAAAGGCTAAAACGCCTAATCGCACCGACTCACACTGAAAACCTCGGGAGTCATGTCGATCATGCTACTAGCCTAAAATGACCCTTCCGGAGCTGATGGAATCGTCAGAATTGGATTCTGATGTCATCTCCTTGAACTTTTGATCGAAAATGATTATTCAAGGTTTATAAGCTCCAAAACGCAAAAACTCGCAACAAGACCAAACGAACGACCAGGTGACCGAACTGTCAGTCCCAGCAAGTCATAAATGACTTGGGGTCGCTATAGGAACGCTCTAAACGACACACAAAAGGAAAGACACAGAAATGACCATGAGGGTCATTACAATAAATCAATTGAAAATTGGAGAAAAAATGGTGGAAGAAAGAAGATAGAGAAGAAGTTGCAGAAGAAAGAGGGTGGAAGAAAGGATCCAACAAGTGTAGGACCCACAGTTAAGTTTAGCAGTTTTTTTTACTTTTTAGTTAGTTTTTAGGGCTAATGATCAAAATGATACTATTTTTATATACATTAATGACTATTTGGATAAGGTGACATATATAAAGTACCAACATAATTCAATCCCTATAGATGAAGGACCATTTTGATCATTTTCTCTCAATATGAAGTATCACCTTTTTGGCGAGTTTCATACTTGAACTATCAAGTGTTTGCGTTTTCTACCTGAACGATCACCAAGTACTAATCAAACATACCTCGAAACTAACTAGACCAAGTGTTTGAATGCGCCAAAAGGTGTGTGACAACTTAATTTGCCTAAAAATATTTGTCCACAACTGACTCATTAATTTTAAGACATGTTTTGATAAATAGTTGATGATAGTTCAAGCGGAAAAGGGTCATATTTGCCCCTGAACTCTTAGAAAAGGGTCATATTTACCCTTCGTCATACTTTTTTGATATATTTGCCCTTACCATCCAACTTTAGGCACATATTTGCCCTTGTACAGTTAAGTATTGTGTCACCATTTTTATTAGTCTACGTGGCGGCTACATGGTGCCTACGTGGCTCCATGTGTATATATTTTTATTATAATTAAAATTTTACTTTCTATTTAGTATTCTATCCGACCCATTTAGTAAAATCCGACCCGACCAAAATGAAGACCCATTAACCCGATTTCAATACCCATTAGCCCTAATTTCTATACTCATCATTCTTGCAACGCTTCATATAGAGAGAAAAGCCATTCATGTCTTGATTTAGAGAGAAGATCCAACAATAGGTAAGAGTTTTATCCTTAAATTATCTCTTCGGAACTGTTATCTCTTTACTCTTTTGTATTGTATTTGTTTCTTGAATATTTTCAAAATCTGGACAAAAGATCTCAAAATCTGTATATATCTTCTTTTATTGCAATTAGGGTTCGTCAATTTTAGCATTTATAAACTTGATAATTGTAGTGCTTGTTGTTTCGTCTATTTTATATCTCTTTACTCTATGATAGAAGTTAGGGTTGTCAATTTTTTATATTTATGGGCATTTCGATAAGTGTTAGTTTATTCTTTTTGGTTTAGGATTTGGTGTTTCGTGATATTTATCCATTTATTTTTAATGTAATTTTTGTCCCCTAATTGAATGACACAATGTGAATATTATAATGTTACTGAGACTTTTTCTTTTTTCATGGTTTGTGGTCCTTGAATGTGTTACTATTTTGTGGTCACATAAGCTCACATGATTTGAAGTCAAACTTAGAGTTTCCAAGGTTGCGATGCATATCCGATGACATTTTTGAAGAGTCCAAGCAACATAGATGATCACTATACCAAACCATTTGATTAATACACAACATTAACAATAATACGCTATATACATGTCT